TGGTCTTGGTTTGGGTTTATATTATGACACACTAAAAACCATTGAGAAGGATTATCCACGAGATGCTAATGGGTGTGTTAGAGAGTGTCTGGTGAAATGGTTCGAGAAAGCTGATGATGTACATGATAAAGGAGGAGCAAAATGGAGCACATTAATTAAAGCACTTGAAGATTATAATCAAAATGCAACAGCTGATTACATCAGTGAGTGAAATGATGTATAATTTGTATATCTTGTATATTGTTAGGAAGCAAAACATTGAAATGAAAAGCTGATGAACTATGCACAACTTCCAAAAGTAGCAAACTAATGTCATTAATTATAATGGTTAGGATTCTTCTTTTTGCTAAATAAAATAATTATAATGTAGTAGTAATAACTAGTTGCATTGATTATAGTGTACTGTATACAATTTACAAAGCAGTAGATATTATTCGGTTTTTGTTAACACTTTATTGATTAAAATACACAATAAAGCATGCTATACTATGTCCCAACTGAGTTTGGACCAAGAAAAACTGGAATAACTTTTTAAGGGAATGTGGGATAAGGACGAGACTTTCACAGGTTCTTAGTCGCCCAATGCCGCTTCAGGATCTCAGGTCTTGGGTCTTTCAGCCCTTGGGAACCCTGAGAACCGGGTTCTCCCTATAAACCCAATGGCATACCAAAGCTAACCGCAATGATGTTCTATGATGTCACAGTTTACATAAGCACATGTGGTCGAGCGCCCAAACTGATAAATCTTCTTTTAAAAAGCTAACAGAGCGAGATCTTCTGATAATGATGGTCTTTATGAAGACTAGTTGACTCCAGTAGCTATTGTACTGCTTATCAGGAAGAGCAAGACTGTTTTAAGAGTGAAACAAGATAGCCAAAATATCGGCCATGTCTCTATGAATATCATTATAATACGTCATTAGTGACGCAGATACATTTTTCAAATTCCAATGCAGCTGCTTCCACTTCCGGTCCATTCTCAGTTGGGACATAGTATAGTAGGGAAAATCCCCAACACCCACCCACACACTTCACAACACAAAATGGCCTCCTCTTCAACCCCACCTTCTCCTCTTGATTCCAGTCCTAGAGAAGACCTGTGGGCTGAATGGCTGGAACCATTAACAAAATGGCAAACCTTTGGCCTGTACTTACCAGGAATAAAACAAAAGGACATTGATAAGATTGAAGAGGACAAGACTGGAGTGGAGAGTAAGAAGATGGGGCT